GAAGAGGTGTTCGCCCGAACGCCTGTCCACCAGCACGACGAAGAGGTGGACAGTGAGATCACAGCCGTCTTGAGACAAATGTTTCTCTTTCTTCGCGTGATATCCGCTCGCAATCGGAGTATTCGTCTCAGAGAGCGAGTCAGCGATAGTTTGGATGAATTGGACGCAAGACTCGATGGTCTCAATGATAATGAAGACGACGAGTCGCGCGAAGAGTCGCAACAATTGGAACAACAAATACAAGAACTCTGGGAATCGCTCGACAGAATCGATACGGATATCAATGAGTTGAATGAGATTCTCAATTCAGATGATCCCACGGAAGTGGACCTCCAGAACAGTCTCAATGGCAGGGAAGAGGACTTCGAGGACGTGATCGGTGTGATTGATGTGATCATTCCAGANAACAATTGGAACAACAAATACAAGAACTCTGGGAATCGCTCGACAGAATCGATACGGATATCAATGAGTTGAATGAGATTCTCAATTCAGATGATCCCACGGAAGTGGACCTCCAGAACAGTCTCAATGGCAGGGAAGAGGACTTCGAGGACGTGATCGGTGTGATTGATGTGATCATTCCAGACAATCCAGACCCGGATGACAATAATGACAATGAAGACGATGATGATCGCTCTGTGGACGATGAGATGCCACCCCTGGAGTCCACGTCCTCAAATAGCGGGTCACGTGATTCAGATTCAGGAGATGTATCTACTGATGAGAGTGAAGATGAGAGCGACAGACGCCACACAATCATCGCATCCGCCAGAAGAAGACATTCAGATTCTTCCTCTTCTGATGATTCGGATTATTGTCCGCCAAAACAGAAGCGACGGAAACACTGATTTAGAGTCAAATAAATGTTGTTTTTCTCATTTAAATGGTTTTGTATAATAAATGAAAAACAGATCATTCAAATTGTGTTATAAAACTTATATATTATAGTTTCATCTGATGAGTGATTAATTTTATTTATGATATAAATAATTAAAAATTCATATAAACGATATAAAGAGTGAAAGTAGATTGAAATATATAAGTGCATATATATATAGGCATAAGCGTTTACCTCCATAGGATAATATTATCGGAATAATTGTCTGTACGATAATCACCATCAATGACAAAATAATCATCGTTGCAGTATTTGAAGTAATATTCTCAATTTAATGTAACTTTTAAAATTAAATTAACAATTAACTACAGCCACCCTAATTTTATATTCAAAACATGCACTTTTATTGGTTTGAACGCAATTAAACTTAATTAAATTCACATCTTTTTATGAAAAAACATTAGAAAAACAAACTACCTGTATTATATAATAAAAACATTAACATTGATAAATTAAATTATAGTATACAGCAGCAAATTGTACATGAAGCAAAATATGATGATTGATTAATTAATATGAATAACAGTGTTCTTTTGCTTTAAGATATGAATAATTATAATTAAAAGGTATGAGAGAAAGAGTAAAAAGAAATTGACATAAATTAATGAAAATGCATTTGCATTCATAAGTGCCCCCAATATAATAGGAATTATAGTGAGAGTGACTCCTACCATAAATGAGATCAAAACTCCCATGGTTGCGGTGACGCCTCAATAGTAAAGTTAATTTACTATTGACCTCCGTATCTCCCCAGGGTGGGGATGGGGTATGTTATACAAACGGTGGGTGTAGTAACAATTGCTCATTAATCTTTTATATTCTTTATTTTAGAGTGAAATCAATATCAAAGTGAGTCCACAAATCATATATATTTGCGGTACTATAAACTTAGACACCGGTATAGCTACGAGTCGACTGACAGCCATTGCAATGGATAGTCCGGTGTTTAGAAAAGCGGCCGATTGTGCGGACATTTGGAGACCACATAACTGGGCGAATGTGGAGACATATCCCGCTTGAGTGTTGAGTAGTCCCGCCGTCACCGCCACTAATATTGTGCACAGTATTATGGAAATGAATATTTGTTTTGTTGGCATTAATTCTACTTTAAAGTTGTTGATTAAAGTTTTCATAATTAAGTACAGAAGGAAGAATAGAAATAATTATTGAGAACCTTACATAAAGAATATCTTCATTTCTGAAGGGTTTATATTCGGTGAATAACTATAGTTATGTGGTTACTAACACATGCCCTATATTTCTGATGAGACATTAGCCAAAAATGGTTCCGCAATAAGTGGTGCAAAAAATGCGGCAATACTCGCGGTAAAATGCAGTGCTTGTATATATGGTCCGCAATCCTGTTCCCACATCTCCACAACCCATACACTCATTAATACATCCAAAACACCACAACTTAAGCCATTGATTGCATTGATTAGAAATAAAAGACTTATTGTTCCGACGCTTACATTCAATGCTGTCGTGATTCCGATGACTACTAGACAACACATACAACCTATTTGTTTGTTGATGTACTCCGAGCCAAATAAAACTATAATATATAAGTTTAAATGAGTTATATCTTAATTTGATAACTAATAAATTATGCAGTATTATCTTAATTTACTTAATGAGGCACATGCATAAGTGGCTGCATTGACAGCACTTGTTTCTGAAATTATTAGCAGAGATGCGTTGTATATGATCATCACATCTGTAAATGTGGGCCCAGCTATATAAGCAGCCAATTGCTGGCAATTGAATAGGAAATAAGTTTCATTTATCATAACCAACAAATATAGTTTATAATACTTACATAAAAGAACATGGCTACATATAGCGAGAATGTTAATACATATTTGTATTTAGTAGAAATCACTTTTAAAGTATCTGTTGAATCAATTTTTGTTTCCATTTTTAATAACCTTATTAACCTTATTAACTGTTTGAATATTTGTTAATTTTGTTGTACTTAATGAGTCACAAAATAGATTTAATTGATAATAAATCTGACAATCTGAAAGTTTTATTACATTTCAGTACACTATGTACAGTATAATAAATACATATTTTATTTAAATAAAATCAATAAAACAAGTTAATAAAATTTAATAAGAATATTGTTTATTAATCTTAGCCTTGATTAGTAAAAATACTGTCATATAATTGTGAATTTCATAATTTTAGCTATTAGATTAACGTGAATTAAGAAATTGTATAATATTAATGATATATTATTTAAAGATTTGTAGTATACTTTATTACTATACAATATACTTAAAATTGATAATCTACATGAATAATTAATAAATAAATGTAAATTTATAAATACTCTATTAATATACTTAAATCATCATTAATTGTGACACTTTATTTCATCATAAAAATTATGATAATGATGTTTACACATTAATTTAGTTGGAAAATTTTGTTTAAAATATTCATTTAAATTGACTCGTATTAGAAATCTTATAAATCATACAAATTATAAATTAATGAATTAATTATTTTTAATAACGTCTTCAATCCAACTAAGAAAATGTGAGACTTTAGCGAAACCGTCCGGAATATTAGGTGTGGCCGAGTGGATAAGACAAAATGATGTCACCCCTAACTGATACCACGTATTGTCACTGGACTGACATAGTAGTGGTCCACCAGAATCGCCAAATATGACTCCCGTTCCGCCAGTTTTGGTACCTCCGGCGCATATTTCGGTGGTTTCGTTGTATATATCGGTCCAGACTTCAGCACATCGTTTGGAGTCAAATATGGGTTCATTCACTTTCTGCAGGATTATAGCCTTATGTGTGTCTAATGTTTCATTTAAGAGAATTTGTATTTGTCATAAATTTTAACTGAAAATTTGAGATATTTATTTAAGTACTAATGATAGTCAGAAGTATATTGGTTTAGGATAACATTACGTCAATAGTCACTGACAACAGCATCACAACCGGTTTGTCTACCGAAGGTTTACAAACACAAAAGGTAACTTTAGCAATGTTTCACTCAATTTGATTAACGCGATGTCGTTATTATAAAGTGGAGGCCCCACCCAATCCGGGTTTATAATCAGCTAAACATAAATCAAATATTAAATTAATTTCAAATCATTACCTTTTATGCAAACCTTTTTGAGTTTGATGTCCACTTCTGTGGACTCATGTGCTGTCCGGTTGTGAACACCTAAACGGATGTAATAATTGGTCACATCTATGATATAATCGACACAATGAGCAGCCGTTAGGATCCAATTCTCGTTGATTATGGTTCCCCCGCAGAAGTCTCTGGCATCAGGTGTGGTGGCATTGGACGAGGCAATGATGACCTGCCACGGGAACTCTCCCGGTGCTGTGTCTGTGCCACCGATTATATTAGAGTCTATTTTGCCATACTTTCCATGAGATTTTCCACAATTCTCTGGAAATGGGCTACAATTGATTGTAACGATATTTATATAAATAAAAATGCAAATTTCTATTTTAATAAACATTTTCCTATAAAAACTTAATGAGTTTTGTTTTTTATATCCATACATATTTTGTAGTATACTTGATTATGAGACAGCTTATCACTTGAAACACTTAGAGAGTGCACTTATATTTTGTGTAACAATTTGATAAAATAATATACTTTTAAATGGTAAGTGATTATACAGTAATTGCAAATGCTGTTTGAACCGAACTATTGGCATATCTATCATATTCAATGACATTTTAGCCCAAATACTGAAACACAAGTGTGAATCTCAAACTGTAAGGGGGTAGGTGATTATATTAGGTGAGTATAGTGGTAAGTAGGGTATACAGGTAACTGCTAAGTTAATTTAATATAATTTTTTAATCAATAATTATGGCACATACAATCAAAATCATGTGAACAATTCCCAGAATTTATTGCTTTAAAATTAATATTTTCTTTTAATAAAATTATAAGTATATACTATAAGATATTAATAACTTAAAGATTTATTAAGTATTGTATTTCAAAATGTAGTACAAGCATAATTTTAATTTTGGTATAAATTATAGATAAATTACAGAAATATAATAAACAATATGTGAACAATTTAATATTTAAATAACTATTATGAAACACAATTAAAACTTTTAATTTAAAAGTCAAATCAATTTTATTCAAATTTTAATTATTAGTAATAGTCTTTTCAATCCAATCAGCAAACGATATAACTTTTACGAAAACATCGGGGTTATCGCCACAAGTACCACCATACGATGTAATACCAAACTGATACCACTTGCCATCACTGGCCACACATTGCAGTGGTCCCCCGGAATCACCGGTGCAGACACCTTTTCCCTTACCACTGCCACCACATAACTCTACAGTACTATTGTATACCGGTGAATAAATAGTTGCACAGACACTGTCCTCATCTATAGGTTCGGCCACTTTTTGTAGTATTTGCGGCTGTCGTTGCTCTAGAGTATACATTTAATCCATTAAAAAAAATATTTGTTTAATTTTTCCATTTATCTCACTTTCATTTAATCCAAAACCTGTGGCCACACACTTGTCGGTGGCTTTAGTGGAAGTGTTTGGCAAACAAATAGGAGCCAAATGTTTGTGTTTTCCTTTGAAGTCCAGTGTTTCACTCATTTTGATTAAAGCGATGTCATTGAGTGTGATGTTCGGTTTGTAGTGTTCATGTTGAATTAACTATTTATTCATACATTTAATGAAAACATTGAGCATACAACTACTTTGAGATACCTTTTGAGCCTTTATAACAACTTCGGATTCCTCATGAGCAGTGCGGTTATGAACTCCCAAACGAATCTTGTATTTGTCTTTGTCGGGCATATCTTTGACACAATGGGCAGCCGTTAGCACCCATAAGAGCCACTAATATCAGCGTGGTGTTAATAGAAGTAAAGTTTATTGTAACTTTTATATCATTTTATCTAATTTAAACAAACTGTTATAATTGGACAGAGTAGAGGTAGCTTCAACATCAACTCATCCACTTGCCACGGGAACTCTCCCGGTGCCGCATCACTCCCGCCCACGACATTTGATGTGATGTCCGATTGTGTTGAGTGAGGTGTACCACAATTCTCGACTAATTTGAAACTATTAACTCCAATCAAACAATAGCCAATAAATATGATTTTAAGTGTACTTGACATTTTTAATAATATTTTATTTCTTAATAATACTGTATTATTGTGTTTTTATATTAAATATTTTGAGTGAATCAGATTTTATTGAATAGTGATAAAAATTATTACATATAATTGAGTTATAAATTGCATATAACTTATAATACTAAAACACTTTTACTTGACATGAAGTTTTAACGTATACAATTAATAGATAATAATAAAGTGGATCTGTGATATTTAAAACAATATCTATAAATAAAACAAATTATGTATAAAGAAAAATTCAATATTAATTCTTACATTAATATAATAATATAAAATATAAATAATTAAAATTAAAATTATCTATATTTTATATTATTAATGGACTGAACAAAATGTACAGTACAAGTAATATGTTATAATGATTAATTCTAATTATTATTAATAGTCTGTTCAATCTAATCAACAAATTGAACGACTTTTGTAAGGACATCGGGATTTTTTGCACATGAAATGATACCATACGGTGTAATACCAATTTGATGTCATTTACCATCAGTTGTCTCCTGGTATCACCGCAACAAACAGTCGTACCACTAGCAGGACATAACTACATGTAATCTAATAATGTCCTAAAGTACTCTATTTTTAAAGATCTTTCTATTGGTATTACTGTATCTTAATTATCAAATAACTGAAAAATGTTATCAATTTTCAAAACATATTTAATAGATCTCACTATGAAATTCAGCTTACTCATTTAATAGTCATTGAAAATGAACATCATTTATATAGCATTGTGTGTATTAGTATCTAATTGCTGGGCAGGTGTCCCCTGGAAGGGTGAGCCCCAAAAGACGGACTGGTATGCCTCCAGACACGAGGGCTTATTGAATCAAACGGCCGAACATAAGGGCGATTTAAAAGTCATATTCTTTGGCGACTCGATCACAGAGGGTTGGAATGGCGGGTGGGCTAAGGGTAAGGAGCTGTGGGATAAGTATTATGTGCCCAGACATGTATACAACTACGGTGTCGGAGCCGATAGGACTGAGAACCTGATTTGGCGGATGGAAAACGGAGAGTTTGATGGACTCAACGCTACTGTGGTTGTCCTCAAAATCGGTATTTATTTGGAGTTTTATGAATACATCAAAACTAATGACAAACTCTCGGATGTCCGCTGAACTCCAGGTACTAACAATTTATTCGATAATACTGAGGAGGACATAGCCCATGGAGTGAGGGAGGTCCTTTATCAACTGTTGCGTCGACAGCCAAACGCCAAGATCATCTTATTGGGGATTATCCCACGCGATGGCAAACTTGATGAGAAGGTCCACACCATTAACGCCATTATCGGTGACTATAAAGACGACAAAACAATATTCTATTTGGATATGAATTCCCACTTCGAGACCGCGTCAGGAGTTGAGATACCGGATCTTTATCTGGAAGATAAAGTGCATCTGACTCTTAAGGGTTATCAAGTCTGGCACGACGTTATGGAACCACTGTTCAGTAAATTGTTGGGACAGTAGACATGAACCTCAATATATAAGACTAATAATTTATTTCGCAATAAAAAGCATTAAAACCTCAAAAATGTCTAAAAATATCATACTTTCAGAAAATAGTGCATAACAACAGTCTGTTTAAACAAATCAATTATAATTGTTAATAATGTACTAAAGTGTTTTGATTAGATAATATTTAAAAAGTGATTCCTATATGGGTCATTCACAAAGTACGTACGCATTGGTAGGGGAGGGGAGTAATGCCAAAGCATATGTCACTATGGTAACTTCCTATGTACGAGGGGCATGTGGGGGAGGGGTTAAAAGGATTTGGATCAAAATTGTACCTACGTACTTTTCTAACGACGCCTAACTAATTGCACAAAAATATACTTTCCCAAACCTTCAAGTTATTATTGTATGAATTTATCAATTAATTGGAGAATGTTATCAAATTTGCAAACATAGTTACGGCAATGAATTTCAATATAAAAAGGCACTGACGGGTCAGTTACTATTACTTTCCCAAACCTTCAAGTTATTATTGTATGAATTTATCAATTAATTGGAGAATGTTATCAAATTTGCAAACATAGTTACGGCAATGAATTTCAATATAAAAAGGCACTGACGGGTCAGTTACTAATTTATAAGTTGTCGAAAATGAAGTTCATTTATATAGCATTGTTTGTATTCGTGTCCCATTGCTGGGCAGGTGTTCCCTGGAAGGGTGAGCCACGAACAGAAGACTGGTGGAAACAGAGACACCAGAGCTTATTGAAACAAACGGCCGATCATAAGGCAGATCTGAAAGTCATATTCTTCGGCGACTCAATCACTGAGGGCTGGGGTGGAGCCGGTAAAGCGCTGTGGGATAAGTACTACGTGCCCCGACACGCCTACAACTATGCCATCGGTGGTGATCGGACTGAGCACTTGATCTGGCGGATGGAAAACGGAGAGTTTGAAGGACTCAACTCCACGCTAGTTGTCCTCAAAATCGGTATTATTTCATAGTTTTATGAATATATTATAACTATTGATGAACTCATATCTCACTGGTCCATAGGTACTAACAATTTAGGTGCTAATACTGAGAAAGATATCGCCCATGGAATCAAAGAGATCCTGGATCAGTTGGAGACTAGACAACCAAACGCTAAGATACTTTTGTTGGGAATTATCCCACGTGATGGCAAAACTGATGATTTGGTCAAAAACATTAACGACATTATCGCGACCTATAAGGACGACAAGAAGATCTTCTTTTTGAATATGAATTCACATTATGAGACCGCACCAGGAGTTGAGGTACCGGACCTCTATGTGGCTGATAAGGTGCATCTGACTGCTAAGGGTTATCAGGTTTGGTACGACACTATGGAACCACTATTTAGCAAATTGTACGGACAATAGGCATAAAATAGATGTAATACTCAATAATATTGTCAATAAAAATATTAAAACTCTACAAAAGTCTAAAAATACTTTCCATTAGTCTATGATTTCGTAACTTTTTATGTATTTTTATTCGCAAAGCCAAGTGAACCGAGATATAATAACTTTTGTTATTTTGATTTAAACGTTTTTGTTTCAAAATATAAACATTTTATGAATTGGATTTGTATTATAAACAGAGAAATATATTTATATTCTTATACTTTATTAGAAAACTCGTAAAACTCTTTTCGATAGGAAACAGTAATTTGTTGCAAAATAAAATAAAATACAATCATTTTTGGTCTTTTATCTACTAAAGCAAATGAATTGTTTTGGCACAAGCCTTATGCTATACGGGATTTAGGATATAAAATAACAAAAATTACTCATAAAACACCATTGATTTTATAGACGCATTTCAAGTTTTATTATATTTTTACACAAATATATAGCGTAGGATATAACTAGGAATTATATTTTATTATTTGGCAAATTATGTTTATTATATTATTTGCGATAAATGAATCAAATAAAAAGTTAAACACAATTCAATGTATTTATAGACCGAAATAATTTGGTGGATTCTGGAGGACTGGCGTAATGTTTACAATCATACGGTAATACCAAATGGACGTAACGTTTGCAACAATAAAACCCTGGACTCAGCTTTTGGTGCACAGAATTAGTCGGCATTTTTGAAGAATCCATTGAATGCCTCATATTTCTTACGCTTCGCTTAATTGTATCATCGAATCGATGCACACATTAAGCTATAGATAGCGAGGTATAGATAATGGACTACTTTCTATACAATCTCTCTCTCTCTCTCTCTCTCTCTCTCTCTCTCTCTCCATATATACGATAAGTAAAGCAGAAATTCTGTTCAAAAAGCGAGTGAAGCGGATATTAAAATCTAATTTTAATCAAAAATCCTTGTGATTTGCTGTGAATGGAGAACTAGAAATTCAAGTGTTTTTGTGTGTCTTATCTATTCAATAGGGGATACAGAAAAGCCTTCACTGAAAACCTATTTTAATCAAATATTGTATGCCATCATATGGTAATCAGAAGATATTTTCGTTTTATTCACAGAATAATAAGTTATGTTTTAATGTGAAAAACACTTCACATATTCCCATATTAACTCAATTAACACATAAATGGAAATTTTTAATATTATTTTCTATTTTTATTGTTAACACTGTTCTCATGAATTATTCATATTCTTTGCACTTTATTCTCGTTTAATTTAAGGGCTAATATATTAAATGTAAAAGTTTAAAGAATTTCTTTCATCAGTTATTTATAAACATAAATAAATAAAATGATATACAAGCTTATTTATTTTCTGAAACCACAATATAACACGTATAACACAAACACTAAAATCATAAGAAATAGCTGTTTGATCAGAATTTATTGATGAGTTTATATAATACTATATAGTATTATATAATACTATAAAACAACTTATGACTTATTCATTGAGTTTATTGTTTTCCCGCATTGAAAGCCATATTTCATATCATGTCTCATATTTGTCTCATTCTTTTATTTATTTTTATGGATAAATTATATACTTCTTTGTTGTCATCCTTTCGGCCATCAATGACATGAAAAAACACTTCAAATTCATCGCAAATTCTTGACACAAACATAACAAGAATTTCGAGAAAATAAATCCATTTTTAATGATTTTTAGATGGATTTTCGAGTGATCTGTCATAAAAGTTTCAAAAACTTATACTTCATCAAAGTAAAAAAAAGTATAAAAGTAAATGTACAATTTAATAATTAAAATATACTGCATTTTATTGAGATGATACAAAATCAAATATATTATTAAACCTCAATTCCCATAATTAATAGACTGTATCTCTGATTATAAAAATATTTAAGCGCAAGTACTCCCATATTAATAGCAATAATTCAGTGCTTTTAAAAGTAAAGATACAGTCCAGATAATTTTAATATCATGTTCGTAATGTACTCACAGAATATTAATAAATACTGTATACTGATCAATAGATAACAGTATTGCAATTTGCAAACCACTATAACTTTCACTGGCCTTCAATCACTAATTTTATCACTCATTCACTCACATTCTGTACAACAATACACTATAAAGTCATAACATTATTAACTAATTTGTTTGTGAATTAATAGACTAATAATATAATGAGACTCTTATTAATGGACGACTCGTACGGTGTGTGCCGTTTGTCACCGGCGGCACCGATACCCGATTGGGTGCCACGGAGCCAAAGCCAGAGGCAAACACTTGTATCAATTACTTATACTACGGACGAGTTGTCTATTGTATGTCCCCTTCAGTCGATTCCCAATGGAGTGCAATGCGAGAGGAACTGGAGATGCATTAAAATTATCGGTCCGTTAGATTTCGGACAAATAGGTATTATCTCGTCATTAACCGCACCGTTGGCTCGCAATTCAATTCCAGTGTTTATTATATCGACATTTGATACGGACTACATACTCGTCAAAGAGACCCATTCGGTCCGTTAGATTTCGGACAAATAGGTATTATCTCGTCATTAACCGCACCGTTGGCTCGCAATTCAATTCCAGTGTTTATTATATCGACATTTGATACGGACTACATACTCGTCAAAGAGACCCATATCGACCAGACCAAACTCATTTTACAGCAAAATCAACACCAATTTCATGATAATTAATCGCTAAAATACATGATTCCTACAACACGTCTATATTTAATGTCATTTTGCGAGTTAAGATATTTTGGTTTTGTCTTTCTAGTGAATTATATGTGATTTTTATTTTATTTCATACTAAAGCCGATTAGTTATTAATAATAACTTATTATTATAATGATATGTGATTTTAAAATGTATAAATGAATGAATTTATTAACATTCAATGAGAACTAAAAATGAGTTAAAATTATTGTTTTTATTTTGTATACTTTGAGTAAATATTGAATAAAAATATAAATAATGCTTATTATACTGTACTAAACAGAAATGCGTTTATTTAAATAAAACATAATTAATTTAAGTGTAATGTAACTGTCATATACACGAAAACAGTTTTTAGTAACAAAAGGATGAATAGTGAACTCATGTTTTTAATTAAAACTAACAAAAGTACGGTACGAATGACATACATCTCTACAATGTATACTAATTATACCTGAAATACACAATTATGAAAACAGTTTTTAGTAACAAAAGGATGAATAGTGAACTCATGTTTTTAATTAAAACTAACAAAAGTACGGTACGAATGACATACATCTCTACAATGTATACTAATTATACCTGAAATACACAATTAATTACACGAATGAATTCAATTCAATTACCGGCCTTTGCAGTGAAAATTGTTTTCGTTGATTGCATGGAAAGCTAGATATCAAACAAATAAAGGGGAAAACAAGTGAATCAATTAATTTCATATACAATACGCGGAATGAATAGAAAAGAGAAATTTATTTTGGTTTCTAAAAGTTTGCTAAAAGCCGTCAGTTTTCTACAGAATATTCTGTTTTCGTTTGCATTCAACAGAATTCCGTTACAATGAATGACTAGTTATTTGAGTTATTTTATCCCACTATAAGAGCTAATATAATATTGAAAGCGGCGGCCAATTGCCGCACATATTGTGATGGAAATGGTGTCCAACTATTGGTAACATTGATTGATCGGATAAGAGATTATTGGATTTATTTGTGCAGTGTTGCTCGTGTGATTTGATTAATGATTTTGGGATTATATAAATATTTCACGTCTAATACAATTCCAGTGAAGTTTATTAACGATTGAAACAAAAAAGAGATAAAAACTTTTGCATTTTATCAGGGAATACGGTACACACGAATAACCACAAATATATTACATTTAACTGGCATTTAGTTTAAAGAGTTTAATTGATGAGAGCTTTTATAAGGTTATCCTGGTTTTATAAATGTCCAAATATTTTCAAAATAAAATATTAATATTGAGTAAACATTTTATCAAAAACATCAGATAAGAATATTTTTGTAGAAATATACTTAACATTATAATTTATTTAACAGTGTATATCACATGCACGGTATGTTAACCATAACCAAATATACTTCATTATCGGCTGTGTAGTAAGTTAAGTAATGTGTTAAGGATAAAGTATCCTTAGTCAGTTAACAGTTTATTTGACAAATAAACGAATATTTTTCGTATTGTTTGAATTCCCCTCTCTCAGATACTCAGATAAATCGTGAGGTAAGTAATGTAAGTTATTATTATTTTCACTTGAAATGAAAAGAGTAAATGAGTTTTTTCTCCCACTTTCACTTGGATTTGATTTATACGAATTGATTGCATAATAATAATGAAAAGATTTCTTTATTTTCTGATTACATTCAATAATAATAAATCACTTGAAATGAAAAGAGTAAATGAGTTTTTTCTCCCACTTTCACTTGGATTTGATTTATACGAATTGATTGCATAATAATAATGAAAAGATTTCTTTATTTTCTGATAACTTTCTATTGATATTTAAATCCCACAATTTCATATGTAAATAAATCTTCAATTACATTATAATAATCATATTACTGTACTATATCATAATATTTTAGTTTACTAAATAATAATATATCAGTTTTAATTGTGATTTTAAATCAGACAATAAATTGGTTATTTGACGGCAACATTTTCCCAACAAGTATCGTAAAGTTCACTAGCTCAAAATAGTAAGCCATAAAACATAATTATGATGATTGGTAAGTTAACTTGTAATTGCATAATAAGTCATCTCTACCACCTACTGAAATAAAAGGTCATTGTTGCAAATACTACAGTATACTGTATGATTTCCTGTATTTCATTACATAAGACAAAGTGATATATATTTTTGTTTTAATGAGCACCAGAATTGGCAAATTGTAATTTACTAGAATATTCTGTTGAGCAAAACAAATATAAGTTATATATTATAAGAATACATTAATATTATGAAAGGATAACTCATTTTATATAAATACTGTGAATACTGAGCTGAGTATAGCCTACGCAAGAATAACAGAAACAATATGAGTATTAATATTGATTTGACTGCAAATATGACTCTCGTTGCCATTATTTAAGCAGACTTTCAGTGACTATATTGCAAGACAAGAGATGCGACCAATAATGACATTGTTTTGTCAGTCTTTCTCTCTATTTTAGAGTTAATTAGTTGTCAACAAAAAAAGTAATTACTCTTAAACAAGGATTATCAGAGTATTTGAACATTTTCTAAATGATCTTGTAGAATCTTCTTTAATCTAATTTTTATATATTCTGTAAATATATTTTAAACATATTTATAAATAAAATACTTTCTAATAATAATGATATAAAAATCTGATCCACAAGAATGTGTAAACTATAGAAATATATTTATTTTATAGCAATTCTTTAATTATATAAATAAACCATAAATAACACAACGATACAGCCTTTCATTAAAATACATTTAGCTATTTATCAAATGGAAAATGTTTTGATCATTATATCGGACAATGAATTGCCTACAAATTCAATTTAAGGCAAACTTTTAGCTTTATTTACAGACATTCAGTAGGAATTCTCAACAAAAAAGTCTGAAAATATAATATAACAAAATGCACTCAACATCTATTGACATTCAATTGCCTTAAAATATAAATGTATTTTAGTCTATGAACATTACAATAAACGCTATATATATATAATTTATATGGTATATACATGCAGAAATAAAAGTAAATACCGTATTTCTACACTAAAACATAGTCAAAATGAATCAAACGTTATCTAAACAAAATCAACTAAAACAAAAATAAAAGTAAATGTATTCTCAATAAAATACATTTTAGAAATATCTCTAAAACAAACCTTTAAATAGTTTTTTATCGGCTATAGATAGTAGTTTTCAGTTCATATTTCAAATATTTTATGAGAATTTTTTATTTACAATAAACCTAAATATAATATTGTTATAACATAATATTAATACAAAATAAAACTATTTTTCTTTGACTTTCTCTAATTGATTGCTAAAATTAAAATTATGTAAAAACTCCAAATAATGTTATTTATACAAAAAATTAAAATAAATTAATCACTTCAATGATAAGACATTCGTTTAATATTATTTGAAACACGAAATATATAATATACTATACATCTTATAATACTATAATTGAATGGGTATTGATTTGAAGTGAACGAAAATTTGCATTTATATTAATATTTTATCATATTTTCACAATCCTTAAATATAGTCAACACTATTTTCGATCTGGTATTTACACCAATATTTTTACACATTTTGCACATAAAACTCGTTTTCATTAATTGCACATTTTAGTTTTCTATTTATATATTTTGTTGAAAATTAAATTAATATCCCAAGATAACTTAATAATATGAATAGTATGCAAAATTAAACCCACTGTACAGTACATTATTTTCAATTATCAAATATGATATACCTTTTAGGCATTAATTCTCTAATGACAGACATTTTTCATTTATCAAAATTAATGAAATGTGAAAATATTTGTTTTTATTCAAATAATAACAATATTGTGTTTTTATTAAACATACATAGTTTTGATGACAAATGGATTTCTCGAAATACTTTATCATATTTCTTGTGAAACGTATTCAATTGGATATGTCTTCTGAGATTTGAGGCATATATGAGATGTTTGTTCAGTGAATAATGATTTGTTAGTCAATATATCGTATATATTATAATATAATATAAGTTTGGAAATGTACTAATATGTTGACTGTGATAAAGAATCGGTGTAAACCTAAACGTGGAATATTCTTACATAATATTGTATGTTGTTATTTGAATGTAGCCAAAATATACTGATAACTGAAAAGTGGTTTCACAAATAAAAACATCAATAATGTATAGTACAGTATAATATACAGTAGCTTTATATCTCGACTCTATATCTTAAAACTTCTAAATTGAATGCTTAGAGCGCTTCCAGCTGATAACTGAAAAGTGGTTTCACAAATAAAAACATCAATAATGTATAGTACAGTATAATATACAGTAGCTTTATATCTCGACTCTATATCTTAAAACTTCTAAATTGAATGCTTAGAGCGCTTCCAGCTCTGCACTCAATCTACTGAACCATTTTTACTACAGAATTAATGGTGAAAAACCTGTTGTCAGTTATTCATCAATTCTTAAGTACAAACCCTACAAACCCTACAAACCCTACAAACCCTGACATTTTAGTTATCATTAGAGACCCGCAGATAGTCAGACAGAAAAACAGACAGACAGACAGACGGATAGATAAATAGAGAGAATTTTAATAATTTATACGAATTAGTAAGAAATCATTATTAATTCATTTGATCACTAAAAGTATAACAAATGAGAGTATTTAATAGTATAATAGGTATTTTAAAATAATTAAGTTTTATGAAATTTATTATGTTATTATGTAAGCTGATAGATATATAAATATTTATTGTTTTCATACTAATTTGAATTTTTTTGTG